TGTGCGTGTGTGTGTCTGTGCGTGTGCGTGTGTCTGTATGTGTGTGCGTGTGTCTGTGTGCGTGTGTGTCTGTGCGTGTGTGTCTGTGCGTGTGTGTGTATGTGTACATGCATGTGTGTCTGTAAGCGTATGTGTGTGTGTGTCTGTGCGTCTGTAAGTGTCTGTATGCGTGTGTGTGTGTGTCTATGTGTGTGTCTGTGCGTCTGTATGTGTGTGCATCTGTATGTCTGTGCGTGTGTGTGTGTGCGTGTCTGTGCGTGTGTGCATCTGTATGTGTGTGCCTGTGCGTGTGTGTGTGTCTGTATGTGTACATGCGTGTGTGTCTGTAAGTGTCTGTATGCGTGTGTGTCTGTATGCGTATGTGTGTGCGTGTGTCTGTGCGTCTGTCTGTATGCGTGTGTGTCTGTGTCTGTGTCTGTGCATCTGTATGTGTGTGCGTGTCTGTGCGTCTGTATGGGTCTGTGTGTGTGTGCATCTGTATGTGTGTGCGTGTCTGTGCGTGTGTGTGCGTGTGTGTGTGCGTGTCTGTGTGTGTGTGTGCGTATCTGTGTGCGTGTGTGTGTGTGCGCGTGTCTGTGCGTGTGTGTGTGTGTGTGCGCGTATCTGTGTCTGTGTGTTTACGTGTGTCTGTGTGTTTACGTGTGTGTTTACATGTGTGTGTGTGTGTTTACGTGTGTGTGTGTGCGTATGTGTGTGTGTGTGTGTGCGCGTATCTGTGTCTGTGTGTTTACGTGTGTCTGTGTGGTTCCGTGTGTGTTTACGTGTGTGTGTGTGTGTGCATGTTAGAACAGTCCTGAGATTTTATTTTCATAGCGGCACAATATAAATGAGAGTTTGTAAAGATACAGAAGCACTGCAGGATTGTTTTACTTTCTGTCTGAATATAATTAGACGCCAAACATCACAGTAAGTGTCATGTACTGTTAGAATGTTTACATGATCTGATGTGCTGATGTTCTGACCGGTGTGTGTGTGTGTCAGGTAAGCAGGGTCTGTACGCCGGTCTGGTGGTCAGTGCTGGAGAGCCGAGCTGCTGCTCTCAGTGTCAGACGGACTTCACCTGCTGCTGGCGCCGAGACGAGGGCGGAGCCGTCATGTGTGAGCAGTGCATGTCGTCCAATCAGAAGAAGCTGCTGAAGGCCGAACACACCAATCGGCTGAAGGCAGCGTTCGTTAAGGCTCTTCAGCAGGAGCGGGAGATCGATCAGCGCGTTGTGCAGCAGGCCACGCCCCCTGCCTCCTCCTCCTCTGCTCATGGGATGAAGGCCGATCAGGTGAAAGTGCGCTCGTCTTCAGTTCAGCAGACGCAGGGACGCCTCGGTCCGAGCGTGAGCCGGCACGCCGCAGCCGTCAGACAGGTGAGGGGCGCCGCTGGTGTGTGACCGGAGCTCTGGCTCTTCAGTGACTGACGCAGCTGTGTGTTGTGCAGGTGTCTCGCGCCGTTCCTCACGCCTTCTCCTCGTCCTCTCAGCTGCAGAACGCAGTGGCGGCCGCCGCTCTGGTCAGCAGGCCAGGTAAGCATGCAGAGCGTCAGGGGTCAAAGGTCAGCAGCAGCAGTGTGAGGAAACGGAGCAGCGGCGCAGCAGGTAGATTCTGCTCAGAACACGCCTCACCCAGCGCTCTTCTGCTGCTAGTCGTCTCGCTTTAACTAGTGGCTTAAATTAGCTTTTATTTTTCTTCT